ATAATTGGAAATAATTCCAGTTACCAATTATTAGTTTTTTTTTTAAATCACTTTCTACATTGTATCAAATCATTTTTCATTAAGACCATAAATATGATTTTATAATATACATAACTGGAAATAGTTTTGATTCACAGAGAAGATATAATTAAGAACATATAATATCTAGTATTATAACGAGAAATTCTTTCACGATATTAAACGAGGTGATAAAATAAAAAACTGATAATTGTTGATACCATTTATTCAAACTGTAAAGTTACGTACGCAATTAAATAAAATCATAGTAAAATGATTAATCATATTTAAACGTTTGGAATATTTAAAGAGAATATTTTATCAGCACAATGGATCCAGCTCGGCTTCTTTAGTCCTCAATTTTTCAGTTAAATTGTATTCATTTATTAGCCTCATTTCAGTGTAATTCATAATATTCTTATGTCTTTTATATGTTTAACGAGGAATTGATGATGATTGTGTTAGTCAAAATGTTTCTTGCATTATTGTATCATACTTTATTATTACATCGTTAAATGTTTGACTTATATAAATATCTTATTTGTCGTGTCTTCGTCGATTTAATTAGAATAATACAGATATGTCGTGTGTACGCTTGCATATCAAGTATGTGTGTGTGTGTGTGCGTATGCGTGCGCGCGCGCGCTTGTGTGTCGTGTTCTACTTATCAATTACGTTGCAAAAATATTGTACGATCGCAGAATAGTCATAACTATACGAATGATATGACGCATTTTGAGATGCTGCTTTTTCTCAAATATAACAAGAACACGACAATTTAACATATTTTAGAAAAATGGTGTCGTCAGGATCGATAACTGATAAACATAGTTTTGTGAAATCATTGCTAGTTTATAATAAAAAATAGATTTAAAATGCATTATTTATTTTTAATAAAAAGCAAAATTTACAAAAAAGTTTGTCTATTTGAAAAAAACAAGCGCGACATTATTAAAATTCATTATTAAGATTCCACATAATATATGTTTTATCTATTTTTTATTATTAATTCAGTAATAATGTTTACATTGTTTATTTTCAACATGTAATGTCGTAATGATGGAGCTAATGAATATATTTGAGTTATAAATCTTTATACTGGAAAAGAATATTCCATTTGAATATATTAATGTAATTGCTTCTTTTATTGGATAACAGCGATGTAAAGACTTTTTATGTATAAACAAAATAAACAAAAGTAAATGGCGAAAAAGAGTCGTCGCATAATATATTTAATTAAAGATAATAGTCATAGATACATAAAATAAAAAGTAAAACGGCGTATATTAAAATATAAAACAAACAAGTTTCGGCTGCTGGATTGAGCCCTCCTCAGATGTAAAAAGAATATAATTCGAAAA